CTTCAGAAGTTGTGGGAGCTTCATCACTGGAAGCTTTCAAGAAGAGATTGGATCAGTGCTTCTATTCAACTGGTTCTGCCCGGTTTTGGAGAGCCGGTAGGAGCGATGAACCGGTTCTCTTGCTGTTCTACTGTTGGGTCCACCTGCCCACCTGGGCTCCCATACTCACCTTTATCTGCTGAATTTGAAGCGTAGCTGCTTTGCGTGACACAAAATAGTGCTGTGTGGCAGCTGCTGAAGTGACCCAGATTGTGCAGGCTTGCAGGAGGTGAGTTAGAACACTTCTGCACCTGTACAAATGTTTCTGAGCCAGCATAAAGTGCGTATTTGGCATGCATGTGCACGCAAAGTATGTGCATGCATGCAAAGTGCGCCCACCAAGCCACGTCCACCGAATCGGTGGCAACAATTTTTGAATCCCACCACTGGATTGGATGGTGTAGGGTCTCCTGCTTGAGCAGACAGTTGGACTAGATGACCTACAAGGTCCCTTCCAACTTGGTTATTCTATTCTAAATATATAAATGATTTAACTAGTTTTCCTGCACTTCACAAAGACTAGACTCAGAATACTGTATCCAGTCCTGGTCACCATGATATAAAAAGATGTTGAGGCTCTAGAAAGAGTGCAGAGAAGAGCCACAAAGAGGATTAGGGGACTGGAGGCTTAAACCCATGATGAACGGTTGCAGGAACTGGGCCTGGCTAGTCTAAGGAAGAGAAGGACCAGGGGAGACATGATAACAGTCTTCCAATATCTGAGGGGCTGCCACAGAGAGGAGGAAGGGGTCAAGCTATTCTCTAAAGCAACTCAGGGCAGGACAAGAAGCTTAATAACCATGTCAAAAAAAGGTCATAAAATCAAGTGCCACTCATTTAACAGCTGCCTTGCTTAGCCATGGAAACGTTTGTCCAAATTATGGTTGTAAGTTGAGGACTTCATAGATATTTGTCTTAATGCCAGGTTTCTGTGCTGAAAAAGAAGAGGTATATCAGTATACTGCTTTTTCAGGATTAATCCTTTTTATGTTATTAAATCTGTAGAACAAAAAGGAGACAATTGCTATACTTAAGCAGAAATGGTGAATGTTTTCTGCCAGGGTTGTAGTATTATTATCATCACAAGGGCAGCCCACGTAAACTCAGTAGTTTTGGGAACAACCATGTAATTCCAAAAACTACAGTGCAAAAGACAAAAAGAGTCTGTCTAACACCCTTTCCTATTGCAAAAGACACTCCTCCTATATGCATGGCTCATTCTTCTTTTCCCTGTGTACATAGGAAAGTCTTAGTTGAATCTCTGAGTCTCTACTCAGACCGAGGAAGATTCTACTCTGAATGGCTAGAGAACAATAGAAAATTGATGTTAGCGGCCCTGAGACAGGTGGACCATCACTCTGATTCAAGATAAGGCCATTTCTCTTGTTTCCATTCTACAGCATTCTTCCTGAACCAATCAAGTGCCATCCCAACCCAACCCAACCCAACCCATCCCAACTGTCCTAAATTTAACCCACCCCAACCGAATCAATCTCAACACACCCCAACCAAATAGCAAAGGAAGAGTTTGCTGGAGGCTATGTTTCCCCCGGGTCCACTAAGGTCTTGTGAAAAGATTTTAAAAGGAAACTAATCTACACACAGACATGGTCAGGTGCAAAGGATCAAGACTGCATGTTAAGTTGCAGTTCAAAGATTTAAGCCTATGCAAAGCATCTAGTCAATTAAAGTTCAGCACCAAACTGGTGCCAGATAAGGGTCAACAGAAT